ATATTAAACTTCCCGCTTCGCTAAAATGTGCAATGTGCAATGCGATAAACTTTTTCCCAAGAGGAGGCAAATTGTAGATATTGGGTTAGCCTCAGGGCTAATAAGGGATGCCTTAGTTCCAAAATACCTTACATAGCTTACAGTAAACGGGTCAATAGATCCGCGTCATGTTAATGCTGGACCCATGTCCTTATGCGACCAAAGAAACACACGTGTCAACGCGCAGCTGTCCTTGGACTTAAACATTAGTACATTCCTTTAACCTAAAAGTGAGTGGTATCAGAACTGGACATTTAGCTTTTAATAGACATGCTACATATCTGTGTTACAGATGAAGGTCCTGCAGCTCATGCACATCGTTCCCTGCATTACTTTCAGCACATAATATAGCATTGGTGGAAGAAAGTTAAAGCAAGTGTAGTGTGAATGGATCAAATTAACAGATATTCGTAACCAATCCCCACGGGTTTTGCAGATATGCCGTAAAAGTAAGGAAAAATATACTGCTTATAAAAGTGTAGATTCCGCTAAGTTAGGGAGAACTGATTTTGAAAATAAGGTCAGAATTCGTGACGGAAATTGTATGCAACAATTTTATTGACTTGTCTGCAGTTAGTAACTTATTAAGATATGACCGGGGTTTTATTAAAGCCGCATTATTTGAAATACTTAACTATGTAGTGGATGAACGTCCCAACATCACCGAAATTCATATTTTTTTTCCGTGATCGCCTGCAGTGAAGAATAATTAGCTTTCAGAAAAGCACTCTCAATGTGTGGAATACTATACAAAATTCTTGACGTGGTATACGGGGCAAGAACATGTGAGTTTATGTCAGTCTTCTAGGCATTTACTCACCTACCATATATTTGGCAAGGATCGTTCAGGTGAAAACAGGCAAAACGCTTTTCCATTTACGAAATTATAAAATGAGAATGTCTTTACCATAACTTAACTGTTTCATTGAAACCAGGACACCCTGCGTGCTAGATCAATCATTATGTTATGTATTTAATTTATTGCAAAAATTGATTCATCTGGGTTTCGACAGGTAGCGGATGTCGGTATGCGAAATGTGTCATTATTCGGCTGATAAATAGGGCATTCCTTCTGTTGTTTGGATAGACAAAACAACTAATTAGTTCCAAATGACCACAAATCATTCATTCACTCTTAAAGATGAGTTTCGTATATGAGGAACACTTAGAAATTATTTCTTTC